GGTGGCCTGTGGTGTGCTGGGGACGAGCATGAAGTGACTTTATGAACATCAGAGGCCTTGCTGTCCTCACAGACTCCTGGACTAGGGAGGGGCGATGCCAGTGTTGACAGAAAGATGGACAGGGCCCTGGTTCTGCGCACTCAGGGAACGGTCACTGTCACCGGCACTGTTAGCAGAGTGGTTCACGTCTGCCGTGTGGAGCACTCCGGCTTGTGGGGACTGAGATGGGCTGTGACCCGGTCCCCATGCCGCCTCGAGAGCTGACGCGAGCTGCACACGTCCAGCAGGCAGTTGCCCTCCTGGTGGGCATCCAGGCCAGGGGTTCATTTCAGGAACCAGGGAAGAGTATGTGTCCCTGAAGCACGCCACACAGGACAGGCGTGGCGGGAGCTGCGGCCATCACAGTCCCCAGAGCCGATAGGGCTGCCCCTGTTGTGGGTGGGCGTCTTCTCACCATGTGGCAGGAGGGTGAGCGGTGGCAACCTCAAAACCCGCTGTCTGCCACCGAGCCAGACCGGACGCAGAGGACAGAGGCAGCCGCCCCCCAAGGTTTCCAAGGCATCTAAGGCATCTGTCTGTGGAGAGAGACTTTCTCCCCACCCCCCAAGCAGCTAATGGATTTGAACTGCCAACTGTGCAGGTCGTAGCTGAGGCTGCCACTGCCCTCCTCCAGCGCCTTCGCCCTAACGAGCACGGCGGGCATGGGAGGCAGTTTGGAGGTGTCTCTGGGGCTGAGCCCCCACCCCACAGGTCCTGGCCCAGATTCACCTGTGACTGTCAGTGTCGAGGGAGTCTCAGGGACCTTTCTGCTTGGCGGCCGTAGTGACTGTCATCTGACACTAACCAGATGGTCTCAAGTGAGGTGTGGAGCGAGAAGCCACTACACAGGACTCCCCAGGGACCGACTCCGGGGCGCAGCCGGTGGCCTGGGTGCGAATCCTGGCATTCCACTTAACCCCGCTGTGCGTGGCTTTTGACAAGCTTGCCTACTTTGTAAAATGGCATAAGACCAGTTCCTGTGTCTGTTGCTGGGAGGCTGTGCAGCGTTTAGCATGTGCAGTGCTCCTGGGATGGGTGCGGGGCCCTTGGGTGCTCCCTGTCCTCACAGGGACCCTGCATGCCGCCTCCTGCACGGTGCTCATTGGCCACGCTGGCGTCACCCGCTTCTGACGGCAGCAGCCCTGGGAGTGTGGACGCCTGGACACAGTACAGTCCGAGGAGTCTGACAGCTTGTCAGAAAATGAGGCAGGAATTGAACATGAAAAGGTTGAACTCATGGCCGAGGAGAAGGGACGCGTAGCTGACCGTCCAGCGGGTTTTCCGAGGCTGTAAATTGTATGGAGGAGTTTGCTCATCTTTCTCCTTCCAAGCCACGGGTGGATTCGAACCAGCAGTGAGACACCTTTTGGTTAGCATTTCAGTTCCCTGCAGCTAAACCTAAATATATGTATATGTATGTATATGTATATATGTATGTGTGTATGTATTATATGTAAGGTTGCCTGTTCTAATCCACCACCCACTCGGTGGGACAATGGCAGGCATTCTCCTGTGAAGACGTGTGACCTCGGACATCTGAGGTCAGGTCACCATGAGTCAGATCCACTCTGGGGCAGGGAACTTGGTTTGGGGATTTGAATTCGTAGCAACAATCCGGTCTGCAGCCAGGGTGCCCCCTTTGCAAGAAGTAAGCCTCTCCTCGCCTTGCTCTTGGAAACGGGGCTTGATCTGGGCCCCGAATCCCTCGATAGCGGGAGGCAGGGACACGTTCCAGGAGGCTGGAACAAATGTGGCGTTGCCATAACGATGAGAACGCTGGCTTCGTGGAGTGAAGGGCCTGTGGGTGTGAAAGGTATTTTGGGACCAAGCGGTGGCTGTTCCCCAAGTGTGTCCCTGCGTCGGCCAGCTGGAACCTGGTGCGCCCGCCTGCAGGCTTCCCAGTGGGCCATGGGCACTCTGGTTATTTCTGGGAGTCTTCTGGGTCGACCGGGCACTGTGGGCCCTCATGGCCCTTCGTCTACTCCACACCTGCTTTGGGTCCTCTCTGCCGGTCTGAGCTGGGGCACAAAGAGGACCTAAGTCACCTGCAGTAAAATGCTCGGATGGTCACCCAGAGAGGGTCGGAGCTCGGTGGACCAGGGTTCTGAGCAGCCCTGGAAGCCTGCACCTGCCTGTTCCGGTGTGTGTTGTGGCTCAGTTCACGAGGGCAGCTTTGAGGACTGAGGACCTCACTCAGCGATGGGTGGGATACATGGACCCTCATCGCTCATGCAGGCGGGTCAGTGGCACCTGGTGGGCATCCTAGGCAGTAGTGGGCAGTGATGGCTGGTCAGTCCCTAGGTCACATTTCATCAACAAAGGGTGACTGGGCCGGCGTTATGGATCAGGCTGCTGTCACTAACGTACCCCTCCCCTGGGGCTCTGCTCGGCCAGCCTGTCTCCTATTCCCAGGAGTGGACACAGCGGGGGCTCTGGCCCTCCTGAGGCTCCACAGTCCACTGAGAGGTTGCCTTTCAACAGATGACATTTGTTCCTGGTTCCCGTATTCAGAGCTGCTTCCCACATTTCCAGGTTTTTCCAGATAGGACGCCTGGGCTCAGCTCCCATGTCCTCACGAGCTGCTGACCGTTACCGGGGGATGCCGAGGCTTGGCTTTCATGTCTACATGGGCTGCTGACCCGTGGGGATGGATGCTTGGACTGTATTCTAGTGTCTATTTGGGGTGCTGACATGTGGGGATGGGACAACTCTGGCTTGGCTCTAAGATCTAGACAGACTACTGACCGGTGGGAGTGGGTGCCTGGGCTCGGATCTCACAGGGTACTTGGACTCCTGTCTACATGGACTGCTGACTGGTGGAGATGGACACCCACCAGGACATGGACGCACGGATGCAGCTCTCATGTCCACACGGGCTGCCGACCACTGGGGATGGGTGCCTGGGTTTGGCTCTCGTGTCTGCACACTGTGGTGGCTCGCAGCCCCTGGTGACACCGCCCTGTCCACAGACTCCTGGCGGCTGTGTTCTCTACGGCAGCAGATCGCCCGGTCTTTACCCCACAGAGCCGACGTGTGGGCTCAAACGGCCAGCTTCCTGCAGCACTGCGCCACCACGAGTGACCCCACAGGACAGGGCAGGACTGCCCCACAGGGCTGACCGCTGCGTCCCTCTCCTCAGAGCAGCAGCTGGGCACAAATCTCGGACCTTTTGATTCACAGCTGAGTGCTTTATCCACTGTACTACCCGGGGTCACGTGCTGAGCTGTCAGGGCTGCTGAGAGGGGTCTGCGGAGGGAACCAGTGCAGGGAGAGAGGACGAGGGGACCAGGACCTGTGCAGGTAGAAAGGACCGTCTAGTGCAGAGAGGGAGTGAGGCCGCACAGTGACTTGGGCAGGAGGTCAGCAGGGAGAGTTTCAACAACACATAACACTTTGCTGCTGTGTGTCGTTAAGCCAGAAGCAACCTCAGAGACTTGACTTCACCATGATATCCTCATGCACCCCATAGCCCATCCCCATACGGCTCCGCCCACACACTGGACGGCGGGTGGAAGGAGGGGAGGCTGGGCCTGGCTGACCACACAGCAGGAAGGTCGCAAGTGGACTGCCATTGAGTCCTCAAACTCAAAGCCAAGTGTGTTCACCAACGCTAATCAAAGGCACCAAGCACTGTGGAATCTCTGGGAGCTTTGAGAACAAGGATACAAGATGATCTTTGGGGATCATAGTCCTGAGGACAGATGGGCAGGTGGGCCTGGCTGAGGGACAAGCCTGCAGGAATGCAGTGACAAACGAGCTGTCCTTGCTCAGTGTGGTCACGACTCCACAGGGTAAAAAAACGGGGTGGGCAGAGGTGACAGTACAAGACCACCGACTGGTCCAGGAGGCGCCCTGTGGCCTAGGGGACAGGCATGCTCCCATTTGACTTGCTCGACTCAGTGGCACTTAACAACTACTAAGGGGCTTGATCAGAGGACCAGGCCTTGAAGGTGACAGGACCCGACTTACACAAGGCAACCCTAGGGGATGAGGGGACCCCACCATCCCTCAGACAGAGTGTAGAGCAGAGCTCCCTGGACGTAGGACCTGGGGTCCCTGTGCTGAGAACCTCTGAGACCCAGAAGCAAGCAGTGACAGTGCAGACGTGACAAGAGGCCACATGATGGGTGGAAATGGAAGGACAAGCTCAAGGTAGCTGTGGGGACTCACCAACCCAAGGGAAAGCGCAGAGAGCCTTCTTGGGGGCTCACCAACTCAGGGGAGAGTGTGGAGAGACTTCATGAGGGCTCACCCACCCAGGAGAGAGCATGGAGAGCCTTCCTGGGGGCTCGTCAACTCAGAAGAGAGTGCAGAAAGCCTTTGCACATGCTGCAGACCCCCGGAGATTGGAGCCCAGGCTCAGGTGTCATGTCTATATGGGCCGCTGTCTACTGGAGATGGAGCCCAGGCTCAGGGCTTTTGCCTACATGGGCTGCTGACTATTGGGATGGGACAGCCTGGCTCGACTCGTGTCTTCATGATCTGCTGACCATTGGGGATGGGTGCCTGGGCTTGGGTGGTGTGTCCACAAGGGCTGTTGACCATTGGGATGGGACAGCCCAGCTTGGCTCCCATGTCTGCCTGGCCGCTGAGTGACTGGGCCACATCTGGGCTGTAGGAACAGACCATCTGAGTCACCTGGTCTGCTGGCTGTGCTGGGGTCACGCAGGCCAGCCTGACTCTCCTGGGCCTTTGCGGTTCCTGGACTCTGGGCTGGTCCCCCGGGAGTGGCCTCTGGGCAGCCTCCCTGTGGGGCCCCAGGATTCTGTTCCCTCATGGAGTCGGATCCTTTCCCCTTCCCTCTGAGGAAGAGCTGGCCCAGAGGAGACCGCCGGGGTGTGAAGTGTGAGTGGATCTGTGGGAAGGCTGCTTCTTGGCTAGAGAAGAGGGGCCGGGTCCGTCCTGATGGCCGAGAGCTGCCCGGCCGAGTGCAAGCTGAGCTAAAGGCTGTGTAACAGGCCGGGCAGCGGGACTGGAGGGAAAGAAACCGCTACAGGTCCCGGGCTTCTCGAAGCCGTCAGAGGAAGGGGGTGACGCGGCCATCTATGTGCTTGTTGTCCCTTCCTCTGGACCCAAGTGCTTCTGCCTTTCACATAGTCCGTGGCTCAGAAGATGAAATCTTCTGAGAACCTGGAGTTTCTGTCCTAAACTAACAGATGGATGAACCAGTCACTTCTTTAATAGCAAGACAAGTTGTCAGAAGTCCCCTTGGCCCTGGCCAAGCAGATCGGGGTCTGAGCTTTGCTGGCAAGGCTGTCCAGCCCAGAGTGACCGGGGCAGCTGCTGCCACCCCAGCGCCTGTGGCTGTGGGGCCCTGGCAGGCAACGGGCCGTCTCTAGGCCTCAGTCTCCTCTCCTGTGTAATGGGCCCGCTGTTCCTGCTTGTTTGAGTGTGCCGTCAGAGGGGCTTCCTGGGGCCGCCCCGGGCCTCGACCTGCACTCACCGTGTGTTCCATGTTCCAGGTCGGCAACTACAAGCGGACGGTGAAGCGGATCGACGATGGGCACCGGCTGTGCAACGACCTCGTGAACTGTCTGCATGAGCGGGCGCGCATCGAGAAGGCCTACGCCCACCAGCTCACCGAGTGGGCCCGGCGCTGGAGGCAGCTGGTGGACAAGGGTAGGGACCTGGGGCGTCCAGAATCGCGGATGGGGCGGGAGCAAGGTCTGCAGACAGTCCCCCAGTCCAGTCCCTGTCTCCCGGGGACACTTGCCTGTTAACCTCAGAACATCTCCTCAGGCCTGGCGTGGTCCCTGACCACCAGCACCGGCCTGCAGCCCCTCAGGTAAGGCGAGATGGTGCGACCTCGCAGAGGTCTGTTCTGAATCTGTGAGAAGAACCACATGCTGTCTGGTGGCACTGTGTCCACTTCCCACCTGCCATGGGGCTCTGGAGGTTCTGAAGCACGCCCACAGTGTGGCCATGTCCCCGCACTCGGCATCGTGGCTGACCTTGCTGCCCAGGAGCAGCGGGACCTGATGGACAGGGGGCTCGATCAGAGCAGCAGAGGTTCCTCGGGGTGCTTTGGGGCAGGTCCCCCCACAGTGCCTGGCTGTCCTGGGCCAGGGCTCCAGCGAGTGCGACTTCAGCACCCTGCTGAGTCTGGACAGCAGCTGCTGCCTTCGCTGCAGGGATGGAGGCGTGGACTCGGGGTGGGGAGGGTCTGAGGCCGTTGCTGCTTCCACGTGGCTCTGGTCCCCCGTCTAGATCAGTGGTCACCTCTCATCTGAGACCTTGGCAGGGGGGGCACCTTGGAGTGAGGGTCCCTGGTTACACTTCTGCCTCCTGAGAATTCAGAGCTTCCGGTACCCTCTCTGAGGACAGGCCTCTGTCCTGATGCTCTCGCTACCTCCCCTCTCCTCACCTTGAGGAGACTGGATGCAGGGTTCCTGCCTGAGTGTGGACACTTGGGCACCTCCACTTAGATTCGGGTTCTGTGTCCTCTTGAGCTGTGAGGAAGGGTGTGGGCGCTCAGGCACCCCTCCCCCCCCCACCTGGAGATTCAGGTCCTGTCCCCTCCCGTCCTCCCCAGGCAAAACCTCCATTCACCCACTCAGCCAGGCTCTCACAGGGAGGGAGGGAGGGAGTGCCGGTCAGCTGGAAGCATTTGCAGAATTTGGAGTTTCTCAAGAGCTCGGTGCCTTTGGCTGGGAAAGGCATGACGAGTCTGGCTTCAGTTCCTTATTTTAGTCTCATTTCTAAGGCCCCAGAGCCGCTGAAGGAAATGGTTGGGAACTGAAGGAAGACTTGCAGCTGGGTGTCCAGACCGCTGGCCTCCCCGTGGCCATGGGAGTTACCGGTGGGAACCCCCGCCCAGCACCACATGACCGCAGGGTCTGTCCTCCCTTGGCAGGGCCGCAGTACGGGACGGTGGAGAAGGCCTGGGTGGCCGTCATGGCCGAGGCGGAGAGAGTGAGTGACCTGCACCTGGAGGTGAAGGCCTCGCTCATGAATGAGGACGTGGAGAAGATCAAGAACTGGCAGAAGGAGGCCTTCCACAAGCAGATGATAGGCGGCTTCAAGGAGACCAAGGAGGCCGAGGACAGCTTCCGCAAGGCGCAGAAGCCCTGGGCCAAGAAGCTGAAAGAGGTGCCTCCCTCCTGCTCCCCGACCCACCATGAGTGGACATCACCCTGACCGCCCTGTCCCCCACCTACCACATGTCCACCCCAACCACCGTGACCCATTTATCCTCACTGACTGCCCTGTCCCCCAACCACCATGAGTGGTCATCTGCACCCTGACTGCCCTGTCCCCCACCTACCACGCTCCCTCAACCACCATGATCCCCATCCACATGCTGACCGCCCCGTCCCCCACCTACCACATGTCCACCCCAACCACCGTGACCCATTTATGCTCTCACTGCCCTGTCCCTCACCCACCACACTTTCTTCCTTATCCACCATGATCCATTATCTACACACTGAGCACCTTGCCCTCCATCCACCATGACCTCTCACCCACTCACTGACCCACCATCATCCACTCACTGCCCCAGCACTCGTCCTTTCCCGCCCATGGCTCTGCCCCTCACCTGTCATCATCCTTCATCCACACACTGACCAACCTGTTTCTCACACACCGTGCTCTTTCTCCCTTGTGCTCAGGAGAGTCCTGTAAGTTACTTTAGGCAGATGGTGCTACACAAACACCAGAGGAGGGCCCTCCAACCACCAGAGGAGGGCCCTCCAACCACCAGAGGAGGGCCCTCCAACCACCAGAGGAGGGCCCTCCAACCACCAGA